AGCTTACAGCATTTGTTCCTAGCTGGGCGAATCCCATCCTTGGCAAGCATTTCTGTACCCCCGCCAGCTCTTCCCCTCCCTCCCCGTGACGGATCAGTCCATCTCACTGGGCATTAGCCCCAGCGCTTACGTCCCCACGCCAGCAAGCCCGCAGGAGCTGCGGAGCAAGCAGCAACAAAACCCTGAACTCGATGCCGTACGGAGGCGATGTTTAAGCCGCGAGGAATTTCCATCCCAGCTTAATGCAATTTCAGGGGACAGAATTCCAAACGCTTTACGAGATAATAGGATTTGAACCACTGGTTAGGGGAGGAGGAGAGCTGGAGACTGATTAAATCTCATTATCCCCAAAACAGCCTGGAACAAGAAAACAGACACAACGCTTGGAGCAAGGCAGGGGAAGCGCTCTGGAGTCTCTATGCTCGTGTTTGTAAGGTACCTCGGGGAAGTTTCCCCAGGCCCTTGTCCCGGGAAGCTTTCCCCTCTCCCCTCCCGTTTTGGGACCGGGGATGATAGTCAATAAGCAGCTTTTCCCCATGGTCACACACGTTCCCACCTTGCTTGCAGAACTCAAAGACCTGGAATGACCTGTTTCTCAGGGGAGAGGGCAGCTGCTTTGCAGAGGTTGGCTGATACCACCACCCCAGCTTCAACCGGTCTCCTGGAGGGCCACTTCTTTGCCTGCTGAGCAAGGCAGGCAGGTGCTCCGCCAGCTCGGAGGACACCAACAGACCAAAGGGACCGAGCTGGGGCTGGCTCCAGCACCAGGCTGCCTGCCACCCTAAGGGACAGCGCTCCCGGGCAGCCAGGACAAGGCCGCCTGCCAGAATACCAATGACCTGCCAGGCATCTTCAGCTACAACACTCAAAAACGTCCTCCACACCCAGCCTCCCTGCAACCACTTTTCGTTATTTGGTTTCCTTCCTACAGACATTCTACCTCTTTACCTTTCTGTGCTAGCAAGAAGGGGTTCCCGACGTGCACGGCAGGCGAGCTCTCCGCTCCATAGGGGACAGCAGGCCAGCAGCACTGCTGGGCAGGCTGGCAGCAGGCAAAGGAGGAGGGACAGGCACGGACAGGCAACACGGGCACGCTCACCACCTCCTCGGGGTGCAGGGCCTCTGCGCGGTCAGAGCTGGAAGCAAAGCAAGCTGCGGAGATGCTTCACGTGCAGCTCACTCCTCTGGCTGCTCACCCTCCAGCCCACGCCACGGGAAGAGAGCTGGTCATGCCACGCTGGTGATGGAGGCAGCAGCCTGTCCTTGAAGAAAGCCCTTAGCCAGGCTCCTCGTTCCCGCGCGAGCCCTTCAGGGCCAACGTTTTTGGAGACAGACATTCCCAGAGAAATACAGGCTCGGGATATCTGTCTCGATCTGCCTGTTCATACACGCTTGTGACTTGGAGCAAAGCTGAGGAAGGGGCCCAACCGCCCCCGAGAGCACCAGCCTGAGGCATGGGGCTCGTACTCCCCCAAAACTCGTCTCATAGTCGGTTGCTGCGGCTGCTCTGATGAAACACTCTCGAGGCTACAAACACAGCGGTGTTTTAGCTCACCACGCACAGCACCGGCTCTGTCGTTCACCCACCTCATCCTCACTGCAAATTAGCATCACCTTTTCCATTTCAGATGTCAACGCACTGGTCTAGTGACTCACGCATGTGACTATTATCCTTCTCCAAGTCATTTTTCTATCACAGCCGATGACTACCACTAGCTAGGGCTCGATTTCTCCCTCATTTTCAAGGAGAGAAGGTCAAACAAAAAGCACAAGTGCACGGAAGGAATTTTGCACGCCCCAGAGCCTCCTTCTCAAAGCAGACAAGCATTTGTAAGGGGCCCTGCTCTAAAATAGCACTGTGCACGCAGACACCGCTTCTCCTTACGATTGATTGCAGGAAGGAGGGAACCCAGCCCAGACAGTCCCCTCAGGATTTGGTTTTAAACTTCTTAAGAAAAGAGCAGAGCCAACTTTGCAGCAACAATCTCATCACTCGCACCGTACAGCGGCAGCCTCTCCTGCACCCTGTCCGTGCCAGGATGGCCACGGGATCGCTCAGCCCCCCGGCTTGCTCCATCCAGCCACCCCGCAGGGTGCCACAGGACACCCCAAGAGCCAGCAGACAGTCCCGGCTGCCATGGAGCCATCGCGGGTGCAGCGGTGAGCTGACTGCATCATTATGGGATTTCAAGACGCGAATGGCTCATACAGCTTAAAAACAACATTAATCATGCAACCAGGACGTTTCTAGAAGATCCAATTATGTGTCCAAGGAGGAAAAAAAAAAAAATACAGATTTATAGCCCAGGTTCTACTAATAGCCTTCCTGTCCAGAAAAACAATGCTGCTTTTAAGTAATTTGGTTACCAGGAGCCAGCAGCAGACCAAACATTGTTGCATGGGTGCCCTGGGCGCACCGGTGTCTGACACCCGAACGGATCTGGGGTGGGCTGGGGGAGGACAGCGCTGGTGGCACAGGCACCAGTGCTGGGGACAGCAAGCAAAGATGGATTTGTAGACCCCATTTTGCTCGCAGGCCCTCCGGCAAGGTCCACGGCAGCCTGCGCTGCTGGCCGCAAGCCCACGTTTCACCGCTTGCACCGGCGGCGGGAGCAGGGCAGAGGGAGCCTCGGCAGAGCAGCTCCAGTAAGTCCGTAAGGCTGCTTCCTATAAATCTCCTTAAGTACGA